ATTGATCCTATTCAGTTTAAAGTTCCTTAACTTAATGGACTTACTTGCCATCGGTAATTGTCTTTGTCCATTATTAGGTAGTACACATGGTGATACTCTATTCTGTTGTTCCTTTCTACTCTACTAGCATTTTTTCACTCAGTTTTTTACTTACTTTGGCATATATGGCTTGTACAGTATGAGAAAGGCAAGATAAATACGTGATTTTTTTTCTATTGACCAATTTTCAAAATAGGGTTGATGTCTTAGCAACTTCTAAAGTTTTTTTCTATCAGGAACTCATGGATGTTTAATGTTAAGTGTTTTAATCAGTTATAGTCATTATTCTTTTAGATGCTTCCATATGTAATGAGTTGATTGCTATGGGCTACTCACACAACCCTATAGTTTTTAATCACTTCCTTGTTTTCTGTCTCAGTAAAAAACCTTAGGCTTATCTTGTATATGTCCTTCCTGACCTGAAATCAAGCATTTTTCTAAGAAGTCTTGGTTTTGTTTAGTGGAAAATAGTTTTGAGACCCCACAATCTGGCCTAACTTGCTCTCAGGCCTTTTAAGAGAATAGAAAAATAAGTCATGATTTCATACTTTTTTTCAAATAAAATTAAGATTACTGTGTTTTTGCTTCTTGAGTTTCATACTTATATTTCTTTACTTTATCTTGGTTTCTGGTTACATTAACAAAATTTGCCTTTATCTCATCGTATCTTACAATACCAACATCATACTTTCAAAATAAAGGTATTAGAATTACTAACAATAAAACTACTAAATGTAGCTTACTAGGGATGTACAGACAAAAACACTGTTATTGAATATCTTCTGTGTGATTATGCCATGGGCTTGACATAAAACTAAAAATACATTAGTTTTTCAGTTTTTAGGCATTTTTTTCCCTCCTGTGATTCATTTTGTTGTTAATTATTTAACATTACATGGTTTCACAGTCAATGATATAAGACAAGGTACACGTGGAGACTCTATCTTCCGTCCCTGCCCCTTCCACTTTGTTCCTTCTTTCCCCCTATAGGTAACTATGTTTTTGTTGTGATTCCTCTTCTTTGACCTATTAGTTGTTTAAATATGTACTGTTTAAATTTTCAAACTTTTGAGGATCTTTTCAAATATCTTTCTATTGTTTTCTAGTTTATTTCCATTTTTAAAAGTTTGTTTTAGGGTCCAGAAATTGATCTAATCTTGATAAATGTTCCAAATGCACTTGAGAATGTGTTCTCTCATATAAATGCCAGGTAGGTCAAATTGAATGATAGGTTTATATATTCTATAACCTTACTTATTTTTTTTGGTCTGCTTGTTCTGTTGCTGAAAGAGGATTGTTGAGATCTCCAACTATAAATGCAGATTACTTGAGTTATCAGTTTTTGTTTCACATCCTCTGAAGCTCTATTTTAGAGGCATACACATTTAGAATAGTTGATAAATTGACCCTTTATTATTATGTTCCTCTCCCTCTCTATCCCTGATAATATTTCTTGAAGTCTACTTTATCTGATATTAGTATAGATACTTAAGTCTTCTTTTGTATTGTTTATATAGTATTTTAAAAAAATTATGTCTGCTGTTTTAATCTGTGTTGATATTTAGGTGAGTTTCACATAAACAACATACAGTTGGGTCTTAAAAAAAATTCTGATTATCTCTTATCAGGGTTCTCTCATTACTGTCTAGACTACTTGTATTTACTGTAATGACTTACGCAGTTTGGTTTAAATCTACCATCTGGCTATTTGTTTTCTACTTATCCCATCTGTCCTTCGTTCCTTTTTTTCCTTCTCTTTTTATGCATACTTTTGGGTTGAGTATTTTTTTTATGGTATTTTCATTACTGACTTTTTAGCCATACTGTCTGCTTCAAGTCTTTTAGTGGTTGTACAACTTCAACAAATATGATGCCCCTTCATATATACTGTAAGACCCTTACAACAAAATGTCATTTCCTCACTTCCATTATTTGTGCTATTGTTACATATGTCTACATAAATTATGTAAGCTCACAATGCACTCTAGTGTTTTTAGAGAGATTAAGAAATAAAAAATAAGCTGTATTTACCCAGGTATTTACATTTTCTGGTGTTCCGTAGTGTTTGGTATAAATCCCAATTCTCTTCAGATATTCCTTCTGCCTAAGGAACTTCCTTTGACATTTCATGTAATGCAGTTTTGCTCGTATTAATTCTTTTAGCTTTTCTTCAAAGAAGTCCTTATTTCACCAGGTATGGAATTCTAGGCTTTTCTCTTTCCTTTCAGAACTTTAAATGTTTATGTTTTGCACAATTTCAGATGAGAAGCTGGCTGCCATACTTTTTATTTGTTCCTCTGTAATATGTCTCTCATTCTTTGGCTGCTTTTACAGTTTTTACTATGGGGTGTGTGTGTGTATGTGTATGTTTAGTGTTTCTTCTGCTCGGAGTTCCCTGATTTTCTTGGATCTGTAGGGTTACAATTTAACGCATTTTGGAAAAATTCTGGCTGTTTATTTTTTCTGTTCCCCTTTGCCCTCATATTTTTGTTTTTCTCCTTGGGACTGCAGCTTGCATATATTTTAGACTACTTGATACTATAACACAGGTCACAGTTGTTTGGTTTATATTTTATAAAGTTTTTCTCTCTGCGCTTCAATTTGTATGGTTTCTATTGCAATGTGTTCAGATTTACTGACCTTCTCTACTGCAGTGTCTATTCTGCTCTTACTCCCATCCGTGTGTTTCTCACTTCCAATATTGAATTTTTCATTTCTATAAATTCCATTTGCATCTTTTTTGTATCTCTCATTTTTCTAATGTTCTTGTTCTTTACCTTCTTAAATATATTTGTAATGGCTGTATTTAAGGTCTTTATCTGCTAATTCCATCGTCTCATTTCTGGGTCATGTAATTGTCTCTCCTGGTTATGGGTTATATTTTCCTGCTTCTCTGTATGCCTGGTAAGTTTGGATTGGATGCTGGGCATTGTGAATTTTATGTTGTCAAGTGCTGAATTTTGTTGTTTTGCCTTTAAAGGGTGTTGGGCTTTGATCTGAGACAAAGTGAAATTTGTGGATCATTTGATCCTGTCAAGGTTTGCTTTTTCTAGACCTAATTTATGATGTAAAAGTCATGATCTTAGCACTCTACCCAAGGCCCTGCCCTATGTATTATGGTCATGAACTGTCCCCATTTCTCTGTAAGTTCCAGGAATTGTTTTGTTTATTGCTTTTTGGTCAGGGCGAGTTCCACACCCTTCATATATGCAGGTTAGTATTTAGTCAAACACTCTGGAGACCCTTCTGCAGATTGCAGGAGCGTGTGCTCTGAGCAGCTCCCTCTTAGTATTCTGCCCTGCCAGTTCTGTTCTAGGCTTTCTGAACTCTGCTTTCTCTCCACCTGAGTGAGACCACTTGACTCTTGCTTCTGCCTGGAAACCACCTCCTGGCAGTAAGCCAGGCAGGCGTGCCCCTGTCACTCGTTTCCCTTCTCCCAAACACCACCTGTTGTCCTGTGTCTGAAAGCAGTTCCCTGTACTTGGTGTGGTTTTCTAGTTGTTTATGGTCTGAGGGAAACTCATAGCTATAGTCCTTCATGTGTGCAAGTGGAAACCTCCCCATCTCTTTGAACTTACTTGTAAGTCAAAGCATATGAACCTTCTCCTAGTTTTCAGTTCACACTGGCTTGCTGAGTTTTCTCTTCAGAACAGATGAGTATTTGACACTTTTTGGGTTATCTGGCTCCTAAGACCCAACCTCCCTGCAACCTTTTACTTCCCTATGCTGGACCTGCACAGCTATTATGAACAGTCTGGGCCCATTCCTTAATGTTCTAAGGTTTGAAGACCTACCTACCTTCAAACCTGGGGGTTTGCTTGACTATCCTGCCTGCTTTGTTTTTGTGAAAGGATTAAAAAACATTGTGGCTGCTGCTGTCGTCTTGGCCTAATCAGAACTCCTGGTACCTTTTAAATTATCTGTACATTCATGTCATTTGCACTACTTGGCAACTGTGCTGGAAGACACAATATGATGCTTCTTCCACTTGATGAGCCTACCATTTTGTGGTGAAAAAAAAAACAACAAAAACACCTGGGGTTTCCCTTGCCTCAGGAATGGCTAACTTGGTACTGCTCTTGCTAGTGGCAGTTTCATTTACATCCAGATTAAGTGATCCTTGGTGTGGTATAAGGTACAGCTACGTTAGTGGGTTCCTGGCCATTGAGTGGGCTGGGCTCTGGCCTCTGTCTTCTCACTTCAACTAAAGTACTTCTGTTGAACATGTGACAGGTGAAAGGTCTGGGGTGAGCACTACCCCTCAATTGTAGCTGAGCCATCCCTTCCCTACTTTTGCCTTTGAGAGAGCTTTGGGGCTGAGATGGATCAGGATTCCAACACTGGCGGCTTTTCCACTGGGCAGGGACAACACTGGGTAGGCATTTTACCTTCTGTGCCAGCTTCCTCATCAGAAAGCCAGGGGTATGTATCTGTCAGGCCTGTTGCTGTGTGAACAGTCCAAGTGTAGTGCTAGCTGCTGATTCAGCAGAGGAGCTTAGGGCTTCTGCTGAGAGGTGATGCTCTTGATTAGGACCAGACTGTGGTCCCTGCCAAAACCCATCCTTTCAGACAGGCTCAGTTTCTGTAGGTCACCCACATGTGTTACCTCATCTGAATCTTGCAAGATTCTGTAGAGTGACTTGGTTGGTCCCATTCTATAGGCAAGGATGGGCACTCCAGAGAGCTAGGACGACAGTCCCTGTCTAGCCTCCCTTTTACAGTGGTTTATGGCATCAGGATAAACTGACTCAAATATGATTACATAGTGACTAGCTAGAATTCAGACAGGGACCCAAGCAACTGGTCTTGGTTAATGCTGGTGTAATACACTGACCAACAAGAGAAAATGAGCTTTCAAGGGAGGTGTTAGGCTAATGCAGGAAAAACTGTAAACAACATGACTTTACTTCAGAACACCTTTGGCCTGAACTCAAAAGGTGCATAAAAGTGGCCAAAAAACATATTTAAAATAATAATATATTTGAATATCATTCACCATTTCTTCATAATATGAATACTTTGAGCCAGACCTAACATTACAAACCTTATCACATCATACTAAGGCAAAGGAGCACTCTGGTTCTGTCTGTTCCCGCAGTTTGGTCAGCTGGCCTGGGAAGGGGCAGTTCTGGGATCTGGTCTTGTCACTGCTCATTCTGCTGGCCTTCTGTGACTGAGGTGGACACAGAACCCTGCCCCTTGTTGACATCACTGATGCACACCCACTGCCCGTCGACTGATTCCTTCCACAGGGTCACCTGCAAACCAGCACACACAGTCTGTCACAGGTCTGCACCCCTTACACCACAGAGACCCCGGCAGACTGCACTGGACAGGTAAGAAGAATAGGACTGTGATGAAGGGGTGGGGGATTCAACAATAAGCACTTGGATCTGGGCACAAAACGTCCTGAACAGCAGCTTTGCTAGCGTAGGCAGAAAAGGTGAGGCATAACCCCCATGTGCTGCAGAAAATGGTTCCCGGTAAGATCTGGGAGGTACCTGAAGGAGATTCTCTCAGTTCTGCCCAGGGCAGTACAGCTGCCTCAGCCCTAGCCAACAGGAAGGGCTGGCAAGACCACCTACAAGCTGTGCACCTCAGCACCAGCCCCCTAGAGCACTGGGTGGGTAGAGCTGATTGTCCCCAAAGCACAGCCTGTAGGGCATGAGGTGGCTTGAGCCAAGATCAGAAATGGTGTTGGTTGCGTTAGGTTCCCTGATGCAGTGGGAGAAGCAGCTCTAATTAATCTCTCTCATGCTGCATACAGGCTTCAGACTGACAACCCTAACTGGCACACAGGAAGCCCCCAGCTCTCCTTGTCTGCAGAACAAAACCAGTGGCCTCACCTGACCAGGATATTCTGTGCACACTCTTGCCTGATACTGTTCTCCAACCAGCCTTACTCTGCATCCTGTTCTACTGCCCCAACTACAGCTGAGTAGAGAGCCACCCTGTCACAACCTCAAGCAATTGCCCTGCTCTCATAGCAGGCCCCACTGCTGTTACCAGCAGACATCCAAAACCTCTAAATAAAGTCTGGAAGAGGAGACCACTTCCTCCAATATACATGTACCAATATAAGGAATCAAGGATCAGGAAAAATCAGGTAAATACTACACCACCAGAGGGAACAGATCTATCAAAGTACTTAGAATAATCCTCTTAAAAACACACAGACAGCTAAATGAAATTAGAAAAACAATGCATGAACAATAGAAGTTTGACAGAGCAACAGAACTACCAAAAACCCCAACAAATTCTAGAGTTTGCTTCAAAAGCAGGACCTTTGAAATTATCCAGTCAGGGGAGTTACAGGAATTCCAAGAGAAAGGGGCAGGAAATAAATTTAAAGCAATAATGGCTAAAAGCTTCGCAAACTTGGAGAGAGAAGACATCCAGATACAGGAGACCCAAAGAACCCCAAATAAGCAGAACTCATCATATAAGGCTACACTGAGACACATTAAATTGTCTATTGTACAAATTGTCATTATACCTGTGAAGTGGTCCTTCAGAAATGGAGATTTTCTTGAACAAATAAATGCTAAAGGGAGTTCTTTGAGTGGAAGCAAAAGGATGCTAATTAACATCATAATATAAAAACTAAATGGTAAATACAGTCACAGTTGGATTCTATAATGCAATTATTTTTTGCCTTTAAAATACTGTTGTAAGTAACCATAGTAACCACAAACAACATTTGTTACACATAAAATACATAAATTGAAACATGAATGACCTAAAATGTTAAGGGGATTAGTTTATCAAAACAACACTTTTTTGATAAAAAAGGCATACTGATACCACAAAACATCAATCAAAACATACAAAAAGCAGGATAAGAAGCAAGGAAATGACAAAAGTCCTTATTAATAATTACTTTCAATGTAAATGGATTAGCTTATCTAAAGCCAGGATGGCTGAATGGATAAAAACATAAGATCCAACAATATGCAGGTATAGAAGATACACCCTAGCCTTAAACAACACACACAGACTGAGAGTGAAGGGATGGAAAAAATATTTCAAGCTAATGGTAACCAAAAAAGAGTGAGGAATAGTTAAGGGTTCAATACATCAAGACTATGTAACAATTGTAAATATCAGTGCCCAAAGAAAACCAGAGGTAAAAGGAGACTGTAACACCCTACTCTCAACAGAAGGCTTATTAGACCACAAAACAAGTCTTGATGACTGACATTATACCAAGTTTTTTCTCTAACCACAATGGCATATAACTAACTAGAAAGTTAATGAATACATAAACAGTTTTTGAACAACTGTATCAAAAAGTATTTTGAAACAAAAATGGAAATATACCAAAACTTATTAGATGCAGCAAAACAGTTTTAAAAGGGATGTTCACGGCAAGATTCTAAATAAGTACCAAATTCTATACCTTAGGGAATAAAAGAACCTGAGTCCAAATTATCAAATAGAAGGTAATAACAGATTAAAGCAGAAACAAATCATAGACCAGGAAAATAGAATAACCCCAAAAAGCTGGTTCTTTGAAAAGATAAAAATGGCAACCAAGACTAACCAAGTTAAAGGACTCAAAAACAAGTGAAAAAGGAAAACAGTACAAACTGATACCACAGATACAAAGAACCACTGTGGCTACTACAAATAACTGCCAACAAACTGGACAAATTCTAAGAAACATACAACGTAAGAATCAGAAAGAAACAAATCTGAGTAATTTTCTACAAAAATAAACTAGAAAATAATTGTAGGGAGAGCGAATCAGTAATCACAACATACAAAAGCCCAAGAGCAGAGGGCTTCACTGGTGAACTTCACCAGTTAAAGAAGGATTAATGACCATTCTTCTCCAACTCCTCCAAAACAAAAAAGAGAAGGAAACATGCCCAAACTCACTTTATCGGGACAGCAGAACCGACTGACACTAAAACCAGAAAAATACACTATCAGAAACTACAAACCAATGTCCTTGATGAATACATGCAAAAACTGTCAAAAATAATAGAAAACCAAATTCAGCACATTAAAGGATTATTCACCACGATAAAATGGGATTTATTCCTGGGATGCAAAGATGATTCAACTTATAAAAGCCAAGGTGATACATTAATAGAATGAAAGAAAATAACAAGATCCCCTCAATAGATACAGAAAAAGCATTTGACAAAATTCAACATCTTTTCATGATAAAAACTTAATAAATTAGGTATAGAAGGAATGTACCTCAACATAATGAAAGTCATATATGGTAAGTCCACCAGCTAACAGAGTAACTAGTCAGGTTTTCTCTCTAAGATCTGAAACTGTAGAGTAATGCCCACTCTTACTACTCCTATGAGACATGATATTGGAAGTCCTACCTCGAGCAACCAGGCAAGAGAAATGCAACTTACTGGTAGATGACATGGTTTAATACATACAAAATCTTAAAAACTCCACTAAAAAACTGTTGGATCTAATCAATGAATTTAGTAAAGTTGTGGGATATAAAATTAACACAAAAATTGGTAGTATTTCTATATACTGACTATCTGACCAAGAAAATTTCCATTTACAAGAGCATCAAAAACAATAAAATGAATAAACTTAACCAAGGAGGGGAAAGATCTCTACTGTGAAAACTGTAAGACATTCATGAAGGATATCAAAGACACAAATAGATACTCATGTCAAGAGACTGGAAGAATTAATGTTAATACTACCAAAAGCCATCTACAGATTCAGTGTAATCCCTATCAAAATACCAATGGCACTCTTCACTGAACTAGAGCAAATAATTCTAAAATTTATTTGGAACCACAAAAATCCTGAATAGCCCAAGCAATCTTGGGAAAGATGGGGGGTATCACTCACACACGCTGGTTTCAAACTATACTACAAAGCTACAGTAATCAAAACAGTATGGTAATGCCACAGGAACAGACTCATAGACCAATGGGACAAAATAGCCCAGAAATAAACGCACACTTGTACTGTCAATTAATATATGACAAAGGAGGCAAGGATATATGATGAGTAAAAGACATTCTTCAATAAATGGTGCTGGGAAGACTGGACAGCTACATGTAAAAGAATGAAACTGACACTGTCTTACACCATCCACAGAAATAAACTCAAAATGGGACTAAAGACCTAAACAAGATCTGAAACCATAAAACTCCTAGAAGAAAACATGGACAGTGCACTCTTGAACATCAGCACTATTAATTTTTTCTGGATATGTCTTCCTGAGAAAGGGAAACAAAAGCAAAAATAAACAAATGGGACCACATCAAACTAAAAAGCTGCTGCACAGCAAAGAACAACAAAACCAAAAGGCAACCTACTGTCAGAATATATTTGCAAATAATATATCAGATAAGGGGCTCAGCATCCAAAATATATGAAGAACTCATACAACTCAACACTGCAAAAATAATACAATTAAAAAAAAGGGCAGGGGACCTAAATAGACATTTTTCCCAAGAAGGCGTACAGATAGCCAACAGACACCCAAAAAGATGCTCGCGAAGGATATGCAGATCAAAACCACAATGAGATATCACCTCACAGAATGAATAAATCAATAAATAACAAGTGCTGGTGAGGATGTACAGAAAACTGAGCCCTTGTACACACTGCTGGTAGGATTGCAGATTGGTGCAGCCACTATGGAAAGTAGTATGGCCATTTTTCAAAACACTAAAAATAGAAATACTATAAGATCCAGCAATTCTACTTATGGGAATTTACCCCAAGAAAACAAAATCACTAACCTGAAAAGATATACACACTCCTGTGTCCATTGCAGCATTATTTACAATAGCCAAGCCTATGGAAGCAACCTAAATGTCCATGAACAGATGATGGATAAAGATGATGTGGTACATACACCTAATGGAATATTACTCAGCCATAAAAAAGAAATGAGGTCCTGCCATCCATGAGACAACATGAATGGACCTAGAGGGTATTATGCTAAGTATAATAAAAATAAATACTGTTCCTACTTATATGTGGAAACTAAACCAAAAAATGGAAACATTCATGAAGACAGAATGGACTGGTGGTTACTGTAGGGGAGTGGGATAGGGAAATGGGTGAAATAGGTGAAGGGAAAAATTATAGAGTGTTTGAAATTGTCTGCATCTGTATACATGTGTGAGTATATGCATGTCAAAATTCATCAAGCTGTACACTTAAATTTGCATTTTACTGTATGTGCCTTAATATACAAAATAAAAATATTAAAAATTGCTACAATTTGATAATTGATAGAGGAAGACAGCAGATC